GATTAAGGACTGCAAAGGAGGAAGAGTGGTGACGGTCACGGTCCACCAGTGGAAGACCAGATAGATGCCCAAGCAAGCGCCCCTTCAGCACCATCACAGCCACAGCCAGAGCAAAATGTTTGCGGCGGTGAGAAAGAACAAGGCTGGGCATGACTGCAAATCAGAACTCGGTGCCAGCTCTGGGTGGCTCAGGGGTTCCAGACCCTGCTCCTCCTGTAACCTAAAGGGGCACCCAGGAGCACGGAACGGCAATGTCCCCGGCTGCTGAGGAAGCAGGGGGACACGGGGTGGGGGGACAAGGCTGTGGCTGCAGTGGTCAGCAGCTTTCCCCCAGGTGGGGACGGGGACAGCACTGAGGAGGTGGTGCCAGAGGACCTGGTCTTTGAGGAGTTGCGTGGGACAGGGACATGTGGCCAAAGGTAGGGCCAGAGACCAAGAGACCAGGAGACCCCAGATGATGGCATCACGTCTGCCGTGTCCCTGAGGACCTCCCCGTGGGATGAGACAGGGAGGCAAAGACCATCAAGGATGACCCCGTGTAGGCTCAGCCTCTGGAGGTGCTAGAGACTTCTTTTTGTTGTTGTTTGCTTATGTGTTTTGAGGCAGGGTCTCATTGTGCAGTTTAGGCAGGCCTCAAACTCACAGCGATCCTCCAGCCTCAGCCTCCCTAGTGCAGGGATTACGGGCATGCACAACCACATCCGGCTTATTTTTTATGTTGCAACAGCCTCTTGCTAAATTGCCCAGCAGGATTTGGACTTGTGATTCTCCTTCCTTAGCCTTCCAGAGGGCTGGGATTGCAGGCAAGTGCCACAAAAAATTAAAATGAAAGCCAAGAAACAGTTCAGGTGAGTAGCTAGCATAAAACAAGCAGCTATCTCTGCATCTTGTTTTCTGGTGCTGGCGACATGCTGTGCCACCAAGCTGCACCCCGAGTCCTGCATCACTGCCCTCTGTCATCCTCCTGTCACCATCCCCAGATCTCAGCAGCCCAGAGCCCGGTAAATCAGCCCCTCTGCTGGTGCCAGTTTCCGTAATGTGCGCTGTGTAGGCTGGTGCCTTGCACGTGGTGTGTGGTCAGCGCTCGCTCGATGTTGGCTGCATGGCGTAATCACAGCGGTGTTGCTGGGCTGAACCTCCCCATCTCTGCCCATCGCTTCCCTGCTCCCCCTTTTGTGAGGGGAACCAGCTGGAACCGCAACCCCACCCCGCTGCTGCTGCCCTACAAAGGAAGCAGAACCCCGGCTGGGGCAGGAGCCAGACCCTTTGGGACCTGGCCAAGCCAGGAAGAGACTGAGCAGCTGCGATGGGGGAGGGGAGGGGGCCACAGGACATGAAGTCAGTCCCCACCCGCACCTTTCATCAGGAAGCATGGTGACAGCGAGCCCTGGCACTCCATCCTTCAGGCTCCTCTGTCCCCACGCTACGCTGTAACACTTGCTCCGTACAAAGGCTTCCTGCGTGGACCCAGGGGCCAAGTGCTGAGGTTGTGATTGTTAGGAGGCCTCCCAACCTGCCCCCTCTCTCATTAGCTGATTAAGATCTCACCTGTAGCAAGCTGCCTCCAAGGTCCCCCAGACCCACTCTCCATTATCAGGCACTGACACTGTAATCTCACCCAGTTTCCAGTGATTTTCTGTATCAGATTGTCCTTGAGAAAGGGATATAGGAGCTGGACATAGTGGTGCAGGCCTGTAATCCCAGCACTCGGGAGGCTGAGGCAGGAGGATCACTGAGAGTCCAAAACCAGCCTGCACTACAAAGTGAGCTCAAGGCCAGCCTGAACTGCATAGCAAGACCCTGTCTCAAAAAGAACAAAAAAAGAAAGAAAGAAAGAAAGAAAGAAAGAAAAGAAAAGAAAAGAAAAAAGAAAAAGGGATAGGGGCCAGCTCATGGCACAGGGCTATCATTCCAGTTACTCTGGAGGCTGACACAGGAGGGTTACAATTTAAGTCCAGTCTGTGTAACTTAGTGAGATCCTATCTCAATATAAAAGGGACTGAGGATATAGCTCAGTGGTAGAGCATCCCTGGTTCAATCCTCAGTCCTGGGGGGAGGGGAAGAATTCCAATTCCTAGTTTAAAGGTGAAGAGAAGAGACCAGCGCATAGCTTAGTGACAGAGCACTTTCCTAGCATGCACAAGGCCCTAGTGAGGCCCTGGTTAGGCCCTGACCCTGGGTTCGATTTTTAGCACTGAAAAACAAAGACCAAAGGGCAGAGGATGTAACAGCCCCTGGCCTTGGCTCTGCTGAAGCAGGAAAGGGAGAGCCTGATACTGTGTCTGATATTTCAGAGGCCTTCAGTGAGATGACAGGTGCCCAGGAGAAAGCATTGGGAGCCAGCTCCACAGCTGGAAGGCAGCACAGTGCCAGGACAGCCTGGGCTCTACCCTCTGGTTGGTGAAGGAGGGGAGGACTAGGGCTCAAACCCAGGCCTTCCCATGAGGCTGTGTTCCCAACTGTTTTTTGTTTTGGTTTGGTTTGGTTTGTTTTGGTTTGGTTTGGTGTTTGTCTTTTAGATTCAGGGTCTTGCTATGCAGTTCAGGCTGGCCTTGAGCTCAGTTTGTAGGCCAGGCTGGTCTTGAACTCACAATGATCCTCCTGCCTCAGCCTCCCAAGTGTGGGATTCCAGGCGTTTGCCACCACACCCAGCTCCCCAACTCTGTTTTTTGTTCTTTATGTTGAGGCAAGATCTTACTAAATTGCCCAGGCTGGACTCAAACTCTAAGTCCTCCTGCCTCAGCCTCCCAGAGTGCATGGGATTACAGGTATGCACCACCAGGACTGGCTTGGCTCTTTTGCATGACCGAAGACAAATCATTTCACCTTTTAGCTCCTGCCTTGAGCTGCAAAACAGAAATGCTGAGTGTAATGAAGCCCATCCAACACACACACACACACACACACACTCACTCCTGTCTGTGCAGGCCCAGGCGGGTTACCAGGCTGTCCCCACTGCTTGCTAAGGGCCCTTTGCAGAGCCTCATGAAAGGTGAGGCAGGCCCTCCTGCTGTTACCGTGTACTCAGACTCTCTTCTGCTTCTCAAAAGTCGCTTGGGTCCACTTCAAAAATCTTGCAGGTGACTCGTCCTGAGGACCTTCACATTCTAATGCCCTCGTGGCCACTAGCCTGAAATCCCAATGGTCTGGGAGGATCACAAGTTTGAGCCCAGCCTGTGCAAGGTACTCACTTAAGGGAAACTTGGTCTTAAAAAATGCGAAGTGGGCTGGGGTGTAGCTCAGTGCAGAGAACCTGGGTTCAATACTGGTACCACCACCACCACAAAAAAGGGAGTGCGTCATTTTTGCAGGTCCAGTAGTTTATTAGAAATGGTTCGGTTTGGCCTCAGTGGTGAAAAAGCATCAGGTGAGAGTGAGAGGGGATCTTTCTACCTAGATTAAGCTAACCTCTTACACAGAGGCCAGACATGGTGCCATACACCTGTGATTCCAGCACTTGGGAGGCAGATTGCCTCAGCAGGAGGATTGCCACAAGTTCAAGGCCAGCCTGCACCACGTAGTGAGACTCTGTCTCAAAAAAACAAAAAACAAAAAAGCCATAAACTAATCTGATTGAGCGTTTCTTGCCTTTCATTAGTCATCTATTGTAAGTCAGGCATCATGGGCTTAGCATCAATCTGCACAACCACAGGATATGGGTAGAATTTCTCCCATTTTACAGATGAGTAAAATAGAGACTCAGAGAAGTGTAGTAACCTGCCCAAGGCCATCAGGCCATACACTACAGAGCCGAATGTGGATCCAGGGAGGTCTGGATTCAAAACCTATGACACTGGGATCAAACATGCTGAGTCTCCCGAAGGAGACTTTAAGAACCACCCATCAATCCACTGCTTTGATGATGAGAAAAGGAAGCCCCAGAAGGGAGACAGGACCTGGCCAAAGCCACTCAAGGGTGAGACAGGGACTAGAACCCAAGCCTTCCCCCAGTCAGGGTGTAAGCAAGGTGGCTGGGAGCAGCTCAGGGAGACAGTACATACGTGGCATGTGAGAGCCCCGGGTGCCTCCCTCAGCACCAAAATAAAATCAAACGAGGCAGCTGGTGGCATCCAGTCGTCACAGGCGAAGGGTCACCCTCCTCCTCACCTGCAGCCCCGTGGCAGCTGCGACAGTGACCTCTTTCACTTCACACTTCCGGCTCACCTTTCCCCGAAACAAGGCACCAATACAAGTCTCTCTTTCCCTTTGTGGTGCTGAGAATTTGAAGCCAGGCCTCACACAGCAGGCACGATGCTGCCACTGAGCTAGCATGTTTTGGTTGATTGACTGACTGACTGATTTTGACACAGATCTCCCTACATAGTCCAGGATGGTTTTGAACTCACTATGTAGTCCACACTGGCCTGCGACTCATAGTGGTCCTCCTGCCTCAGCTTCCCAAGTACTGAGATTATAGCTGTGCGCCACCACATCTTGTGCTTTTATTTTAATTTATTCATTTTGCAGTACTGGGGATTGAGCCAAGAGCCTCCATGCTAAACTATATCCCCAGCGCTTTCTATTTATATTTTGAAGCAGGTTAAATTGTTTCCCAGGCTGTGCTGGAACTTGTGATCCTCCTGTCTCAGCGTCCCAACACCTGAATTACAGGTGTGCACCCCGTGCCTAGCTCAGATACACATCATACATACTTTGAAAGAATCAGTCCCCTTATAAAGTCCACATGTGGCCCTTTCACAAAATAATGACAGAAGTCATCTGCCTCGGGCTTTGTAAGAAGGGGACAGGTGTTGTTACTGTCACTTCACGGATGAGAAAAGTGGCTCAGAAAGTTGAAGGGGCCTCACCAGAAGTCACCTGACAAGTGTGACAGAGGTGGGAGAAGAGCCATCGGGGAGGGAGCAGACCTACTCAGATCAGCCTCGCCCCAGACACAGGTCCTTGGAGAAGCCAGATGTTCCACCCACGGGGGCAGGGGATGGGAGCTGCGTTTCCTGCCCCTCGCTGCATCCTGTTGTTTTCGGATGTTGTCTTGCTAGGACCTCTGTCCTCACGCCTGCATTTCCTGCATCCCCCACATTGCCCCATTCTGGACGATGAGCAGATCTCGGCAGCTGCATGAATGAGCCACAGATGCCAGTCACCGCCATGCCAGGGACCCCCTTCTAGGCCGGATTGCACATAGGGTAAGCCATTCCCTGACGGCAGGGGCAGCTTTCCAAGGGAGCAAGGGGAGAGGGTTCCTGCTGCGGGGGGAAGCAGCCAGGGAAGGTGACACCTTGCCTCAGCCACCTGCGCTGGAAGCTTCCAGGTGGCAACTGGGGACTGGGCCCTGAGAAGGACTGGCATTGTCTGTGCACCATCTTTCACTTCCCTGTGACGAGGGTTGAGAACCAGCAGGCACTGATTTCTGTCTCAGCTCAGGTGTGACCTTGACAACACCCAAAAGAGGGCACCGCCTCTGAGAATGCCTCTTCCCCGCTTCCCAGTGCAAGAGTTACCCTGGTGACATGGGAGGTGTGACTAAGGTCCAGTTCTGCTGCTAACTTGTTGGGTGACCTTATATGAATTATCTTGCTGCCTGTGCTGCTTGCAAGTGGCCTGTTTCATGAAAAAGGGTTCTGGAAATAATGGAAGGAGCTGCTTAAAAATCTCAAGAGCACTGCCAGTAGAGTGGTGCATGCCACCCAGGAGGCTGAGGCAGGAGGGTAGGGCATTTGAGGCCAGCTTGGGCAACTGAGTGAGAACCTGTTTTAAAAGAGCCAGGTATGCTGGTGAAGGTCTGTAATTCTGGCACCCTGCGAGGCTGAGGCAGCAGGATCCCAAGTGTTAACCCACCGTGGGTTACTTACTTACTGACTTAGCAAAACCCTGTCCCAAAATAAAAAAGGGCCGGGATGTAGCTCAGTGTAAAGGCTCTAGTTCATCCCCAGTACTACAAATAAACAAGCAAATTAATTAATTAAAGACGATAAAACTAGAAAAAAGCTAAGGATTTAGTTCAATGGTAGAGCACCCACAGGTTGCCCAGTCCAGGAAAAATAAAAAATTCTAAGGACACTGAATTACAATTGCCATTTACTGAGTTTTTATGATATGCCAGGCACTTTTTAATTTAATTTAATTTTGGGGGGGGACAGAATCTCTATATGTAGTTCAAGTTGGCCTCAAACTGATGGTGATCCTCCTGCCTCAGCCTCCCAAGTGCTGAGCTTACAGATATGAACTATCACAGCAGACTGTGTACAGTGTGTGTGTATGTGTATGTGTGTGTGTGCCACAGGGGATTGACCCTGGGGCCTTGCACACACTAAGCAATTACTCTAGCACTAACTACACTCCCAGCCTCAGGCAAGGTATTTTTTCACAATTTCCTGGAGTGAGCAGATTCTCCCTGTTTGAAGATGCTCCTAATAATAAGAGCAGCAACAAACAGATTCACTTATTAATTTCTTTAAATCCTCACAAGGGACCTTACCTCTTAACAGATGAGAAAGGAGAAAGGAGCTCAGGATCAAACGAGGCCCATCGCTGGGACTCGAACCCCACACTCCGCTGCCGTAAGCCTTGCATCCTGATTTGGTTTTATGGTTTAAAACTAGATGTCCTCCACGAGCCTCATGCACTCATAGGTGGGACTCCAGCCTCCTGGAAGGTGACTGAATTATGGGTGTGCTATAGCTGAGCTGTTGCTGGGAGGTGGGGTCTGGTCAGAAGGGGCGGGAACCAAGCGTGACCTGGAGGGGTCTCCATCTCCCTTCCTGCTTCTTTCTTTCATTCTGCTTCCCGACTGTCATGAAGCGAGCAGCTTTCCTGTGCCCAGGCTCTTCTGCGATCAAGGACTGAAACTTCTAAAATGTGAGCCAAAAATAAATCTTTCCTCCTTCAAACTGCAGGTACCAAATATTATGATACTAGAAATGAGAGAGTTACTAAGACAGATTTGGGTACTGGAAAAGTGGGGTCCTTGCCAGGACTATACCTGACCATGTGGTTGCAGAAGCTTTTGGAGCTGGAGTGCAGGAAGAGTTTAGAAAGGTTTAGAGCTGCTGGGTAGAGGGGTGCCTAGGATGTTGTAAACCAAGCTTAAGAATGAGAGATTCTGGTCAGAACTCAGAATGTTGATAAAAGAAGCAGACAGCAAAGAGCAAGCTTGGCCAGGGGTTTAGCTCCGCGGCGTAAATGCTTGCTTGGCAAGCATGAGGTCATGAGTTGGATCCCCGGTACCCAAAGAACAACAACAAAAATGCTAAAAAAAAAAAACAAAGACCAGGCTCAGGAGATTTCATCTGGGAACAAGGATCTCATTTGGTAGTCAGGCTAGAGAGCATGGGTGTTGTGTTTTGTCTGCATTTTGCTCATGCACTTTGGTCATATCCTGAGACCTTGTGGAAGACCAACATTGAGGATGGCGGAACAATCTGGTAGAGGAAATTTCAAGGCACCGCAACTTTCAGGATATGGAATGGATATGGCTTTTAGCCAGCTCTACATTGATAATCAAGAGCAAATGGGTGCTTTCATAGGCTGAATTTCACCAGAAAGAAAGCTCCTGTAAACCTGGGATCTGTAAATGGAAGCAAAAGAGAGCTTCATTGTTGAAAATGTTTGCATTATAAAAAAGCTAAGTATTTTGAGTCAGGACCACAGGGAAGATGCCCCCAGGGCATCTCAGGAAACTTTTATCTTCAGATTTTGCTTGGAGAGCACAGGGCGCAAGATCTCATCTTCTCTGAGATTCCTTTCACAGTGTTCAGCCTCAGAGGTTGCATCAACTATGATCCAAGGAGGCCCAGCCACTGCTCAGGCTGGTAGTGGACCTTAGAGTTGTCCATAGGGGGCTGATTTTACAGGCATGAAGAATGCAAGAGCCGTGGGGTCCAGAAAACTTCACCCAGATTTCAGAAGGAGGCCTGGGAGCCCGGCTAGTGTGCCCCTGAGGTGGACTACATACGTTTGGCATGAAAAGATGTGCATGAGTCTTAGAAGCCAGGGGCAGAATGTTATGGTTTATATCTAGCGGTCCCCAAAGAGCCTCCAAAAGGCAGGGCTTTTGGGTGGTGATGCACATGGAGGTGCAGTAGCTAACTTCTTGTTAGGAGGTGGGATCTGGGCGGAAGTGATGGATCACCTGGGGCGTGGCCTGAAGGCTGATCTCCCTCAGGTGCCTCCCTTTATTTTCTCTGCTTCCCGGTTGTCACAAGCAGCAACTGCCCTCCGCCCAGGCCCTTCCATCATGCCACTGACCATGCAAGGACCAAAACTTCTAAAACGTGAGCCAAAATTAGTCTCACCCACTTTAAGTAAGGGGTGTTGGGTTTTATCTCCCAGCAACAAGAAACTGATTATAACACTCAGGTTATATTCAGTTGAGACAGCCCCTTTCCACCCCAGCGAGTTTTATTAGTTAGTTTTTGACTGTTTACTATGTAGCAAGCACAGAAGATCTAGAAATAGTAGAGCCCAGTCCCTAAGCCTGCTAACCTGTGTGGCCTCCGCCAAATGTTTTAACACCTCTGAGCCTCCATTATCTGTGAAGCAACAGCAACCATAATCCTCTGCTCCACCTGCTGGGAATTAGGCAGGGTCTTGCTATGCAGTTTCAGCTGTGTAGCCCGGCTGACCTCCAACTTGTGGCAATCCTCCTGCCTCTGCCTCCCAAGTGCTAGGATTACGGGCACGCACCACCGCACCTGGCGCAACTGTTTTCTTATAGAGGTGTATGGATGAAATCAGATTATGGCTGGGAAAAATATTTTGGCGAATTTAAGATCCACACAAACATTCGTGTGGGAGAAAGATAGTATGGAACCTGGCAGTGTGTGTGCAGGCAGGCTGGGAGTCTCACGCATGACTGAGCTCCAGAGGTGCTCAAAAGGAAGTCTAGGAGGGAAGGGGAGCCAGAAAAAGAGCCCAGGGGAGGCAAAAAGGAAAATGGTAGGGCAGCTGGGGGTGTCCAGTGGAGGTGTCCAGCTGAACAGGCCAGGGCTGGCCGCCTGGGGCTGAGGCACCACTCTGCCCCGTCTACAGGCAGAGCAGCAGGCTGTGGACCGGTGGCGCTGCCCAAAACAATACAACCGGAACCCCGTGCAACACTGAAATGTTACTTGTAACTGCATTTTAAAAAGAAAAAGGAGCCAGACATGGTGAGGCTCAGATGTAATCTCCTCAAGCACTTGGGAGGCTGAGGCAGGGGGGTCACTAGTTTGAGCCCAGACTGGGCAATTTAGTATCAGACCAGCAATATAAAGGGCTCAGTGGTAGAGCTCTCCTGGCTCCTGCATGGCAAAAAAATAAAATACAACACAGCCATCTGAAGAGAGTCACATCCTTCCTTTCACCTCAAGCAGGACTCTGCTTTCTGTCTCCTGTGGAGAGTTTCCTACCTCCTTAAGATACCCTACCCACTGACTGCAAGATCTCTGCTCCCCCGTCTACCTCATAAGTCCTAGTGCTCCCAGGAGATCTGGCTTTGGGCTCAGTGTTGAGTTTCCCGAGATTTACATTGGGCCAGAGGTGCAGCTCAGCAGCAGATCACTTCAGTAGCATGTGTGAGGCTCTGGATTTGACCCTCGGTTCTAGGGGACAGCAGGATTATTCTAACCAGGCACGGTGGCACAGGTCTGTATTCCCAGCACTCTGGGAGGCTGAGACAGGAAGATCATAAATTCAATCTCAACCTGGGCTACTTAGCAAGACCTTGACTCAAACTAAAAAGTAAGGGCTGGGAATGTAGCTCAGGGCAGAGGCTCTGTGTTCACTCCCCAGGACAGGAAAAAAAATTCTTTTTATCCTGTTAACTCTTCCCATTCCAGCTCTTTTGCACTGTTCATGGTATTCTCCTACGGGCCATACAATGTATTTATCCCTCTCCCAGTTGACGAACATTTCAATTATTTAATTTTTTTTTTTAATTTCAAAAATGCCAACATGTACACTCTCGTCCATGTCCCCCAGGCCCTTGGCAGGACATTGCTGGGAACACCTGCCCAGGAAGAGGGCGGAGACACCTTCAAGTTCATTAAATCTGTCACAGCTTCTCCCCAGCGTGACTGAGCCAGCCCACACCTGTGTGACTGAGTGCTGGTGGCTTCACACAGGTCCCACACTGATACTGTCATCGGAGCAAAATTTGCATTTCTGTGTCTCCTGCTGAGGTTGAGAACCTTTACAAAGGATTCTGGACCATTGTTCTTTCATACTCAATGTTTTTCTTAGTTGTGGGTTTTTTCTCCTTTTTTCTTAAGTAATCTTTTCTTAAACCTTTTTTGTTTTGTTTTTTTTTAAAGAATAAAACCAAACAAAACAGAATAAAGCCAATCATAACACAAGAGTGAAAGTGACACAGATTTTAAAACAAGATAACAGGAAATCAACAATGGCTGCCATAATACATCTTGTTAGCTTCACAATAGCTGCCCATGTCATCAGATACAGTATAATCAAACCAAACCAAACTGAGTAAGACCAATCAAAACAAAATCACGAAAATGATACAGGACTTTAAAACCAGATAGTAAGGAATTAACCATGATTACCACCGTCCCTAAAAATATGGAACACCTCACGAACTGGAGTGTCACCTTGCACAGGAGCCACGCTAACCTTCTCTGTAGCGCTCCACTTTTAGTATATGTGCTGCCAAAGTGAGCAGTTTCTTAAGTGATCTTGCCTGAAATCACGTGTTTTATTATCTTTTTAAAAAAACTAGCTTGGTCTTTGTCAACTCTTTCTATTGTTTTTCCAAGTCATTAATATCTGCTGTTGTTTCTTTTTGTGTTTTTTGGCTTTTGGTTTTTTGAGACAAGGTCTCACTATGTAGTTCAGGCTGCCCTTGAACTCACTGTGTATTCCAGGCTGGCCTCAAAGTCATGGGGTGCTCCTGTCTCAGTCTCACAAGTGCTGGGATTATAGGCGTGCGCCACAATGTGTGCCTTCTGCTCTTATTTCTATCTTCTGTTTTCTCTGGATTTATGCTGCTGTTACTTTATTTATTTATTTATTTATTTGTCTTTCTGAGACAGGGTCTCTTTATGCAGTTCAGGCTGGCCTTGAGCTCACTTTGTAGCCCAGGCTGGTCTTGAACTCACAACGATCCTCCTGCCTCAGCCTCCTGAGTGCTGGGATTACAGCCACCATGCCTGGCTTCTTTCTTTCATTTTCTATTTCTTTCTTTCTTTCTTTGCTGTTATTTTTCTAGTTCCATGAATTTATCGGACTTTTTCTTTCAAACATAAACATTAAGGGCTATGAATTTTCTTTTCCTTAGTACTCAAACATATCCCATAAGTTTTAATGTGTTGCAGTTTGATATCATTCACTTCAATATATTTTATAACATTCCTTTTTGATTTTTTACCCAGAAGCATGATTTTGTTTTCACATCTGCGAAGTTATATATATAGTTTTGTTTTGTGCTTTTTGGTACCAGGAACTAAACTTATGACCTCATGCTTGCCAGGCAGCTGCTGTGCCACTGAGCCGTATCCCTGGCCCTATTAGTTATATTTTTAAAGTTCTTAACTTCTAAGTGCATTGCATATAGTCGGAACATAATTTTTGGGGTTTTTGGTTTTTTTTTTTGTCTTTTTTGTTTTTATCGGTACCGGGGATCAAACTCATGGCTGCCTGCTTGCAAGGCAGATGCTTATGCCGCTGAGCTAAATGCCCAGCCCCGGAACATAGTTTTTATACTGCAGACCATTTTAAATATTTTTGAAGTGTATATTTCACTTAGGACTTAGTTTTGGTAAGTGTTCACATCTGCTTCAAAACAGTGTATATTTCCAATTATTTGATGCTGAGCTCAATATGTATTAGATCAAATTTGTTAATTGCTATATTAATCTGCTTTGCCATGGCTAGGACCCAATACCTGACATGCACGATTTAAGGAAAGAAATGGTTTATGGGCTTATGGTTTCTGAGGCTTCAGTCCACAGCCAGCTGGTTTTAAGGTTTTACGCTCATGTGGAAGTGGCCTGGTGGAGCAGAGCTGCTCAGTTCATGGTGGCCAGGGAGGCAGCACCAGAGAGGAAGAGGTGAGGGACCAATATTGACCTCCAAGACCACACCTCCATGACCCATCCAGAAATACCCACAGTGTGATTGACTGTTCCTTTAAGTGATTCCAGGCCAATCAAGTTGATAGTTAAGCCTATTGATCACAATTGCATATTTAAATCTTGTACATTATTAATGAATATTTTGTCTGCTTAATTACCAATGTTTTTTTCTTTCTTTGAGACAGGGTTTTGCTCTATAGTCCAGACTGGCCCCAAATTCATAGCGATCCTCCTGCTTCCCAAGTACTAGGGTTTGATTCTTTTTCAGATCTATCCATAGCCAAGTATAGGGTCATATACATGTAGTCCAAGTCTTCTGAAGGCTAATGCAGGAGGGTCATTTATGCCTAGGAATCAGAGCCAAACTAAGCAATATAGCAGGACCCTCATGTCAAAATAAATAAATAAATACATTTATTTGGTCATGCAAATCTTTGTGTTCTCTTAAAGGTGACACATATACTAAAAATGAATAATTGTTTGACCTTAAAATTTAATGTTTTATGTAGTACAAAATATTTTACCTTCTATAGTTTATCTTCCTATCATTTGGAATAAAGTCAAAAGACCATCTCCTATTCTCAAATAATTGTTAAAACTTCAGCACTTTCTGGGCATGGTGGTACATGCCTACAATCCAAGCATGTGAGAAGGCTGAGGCAGGAGGATCTCAAGTTCAAACCCAACTTGGGCAAGTTAGCAACTTAGAGGAATCTTGCCTCAGAATTTTAAGAAATTAAAAAAGGGCTGGGAATGTGGCTCAATGACAAGATTTTAAGTTAAATTGCCAGTACTGCAAAAAAAATTTTTTTTAAACAGAATGAAACAAAACAAAACATAAATAGTCAGCACCTTGCCAGAACTGACAAAAAAAATTAAGACAAACCAAAACAAAAAGAAGCAAAAAACCTCATAATCTCCAGATTTCACTTCTCGGTTTCACTTTCCTCTTGGGGATTTCCCTTACTTTTAAAAGGAAGTCTTAAGATTAGTCTTTGGAAAACAAAAGGCCAAAAAGCTTCCAGGCACTTCTGCTTGATGTATTCCTGCAGACCTGGCTCCCCCACTTAAATGGAGAAAGGGCGACCAAACATTTTCAGCATATGAATCCACCCTCTCAGGCAAAAGTTAGAAGCGGGTCGGTGGATGGATGAGGTCATTTCTGCACTAACTGGAAAACTCTCTCCCTCTTGCCTTGTGCAGAGCCGGGGAAGCCTGGGGAGAGGCGGGCCCCATGGAGGGCTGCCAGGAGACGGAGGTGGCCAATGGCTCCATGCCCAACTCGGACTTCGACCCCACGAAGAGCTACATGGTCTTGAGTGGTCCCCAGAGGATAGCGGTTGCGGTGCTGTGCACGCTGCTGGGGCTGCTCAGCGCCCTGGAGAACGCGACTGTGGTCTATCTGACACTGTCCTCCCACCGGCTCCGCAGGAAGCCCTCATACCTGTTCATTGGCAGCTTGGCCGGAGCTGACCTCCTGGCCAGTATGGTTTTTGTCTGTAGCTTTGTTAACTTTCACGTCTTTAATGGCATGGACTCCGACACCGTCTTCCTGCTGAAGATCTGCAGCGTGACCATGACCTTCACAGCCTCTGTGGGCAGCCTGCTGCTGACCGCCATCGACCGCTACCTCTGTCTACGCCACCCACAGACATACAGAGCTCTGCTCACCCGGAAGAGGGCGCTGGCGGCCCTGGGCATTATGTGGGTCATCTCGGCGCTCGTATCCTACCCGCCACTCATGGGATGGACATGCTGTCCCAGACTCTGCTCTGAGCTTTTCCCGTTGATCCCAAATAACTACCTGCTGAGCTGGCTCCTGTTCATTGCCATCCTCTTCTGTGGCATCATCTACACCTATGGCCACGTCCTCTGGAAGGCCCATCAGCATGTAGCCAGCCTTGCCAAGCACCAGGACAAGCCGGTGTCAGGAATGACCCGGATGAGGCTGGATGTGAGGTTGGCCAAAACGCTGGGGCTCTTGTTGGCTGTGTTGTTTGTGTGCTGGTTCCCCGCCTTGGTCCTCATGGCCTACAGCCTGGCCACCACGCTGGACAATAAGGTCAAGGAAGTCTTTGCTTTCTGCTCCATCCTGTGCCTCGGCAACTCCTTGGCGAACCCTATCATCTACGCCTGGCGCAGCAGGGAGGTCTGCTCCTCTGCCCGGCACCGCCTGGCCAACTGGAAGAAGTGCCTAAGGGGATTCAAGCCAGAGGGAAAAGAAGAAGCCCCCAGGTCCTCCATGAAGTCCTCCATCACGGAGACAGAGGCCGACATGAAAGTCACACTGGGTCAGGCTTCCACAGATATGTTCCACTCGGATCCCTGAAATCTCAAACAACTCAGGCCAGACAGGTTATCTCTCTGGAGAAGTCACAGAAAGGTCTGGCCCTGCCACCTTTCTTAAACCAGCCCCAGGGGCACACTGATGCTTTGTGCTGAGGAGCAAGGCCAGGCCTCCGGCCGTCACCCAGCCATGCTTCCCATACATGGCCGTTGGGGGCCCAGGGACCAGGACAGTTCACATCAGGTCAGGAACCTTCCCCATGCTGGCTCAGGGCCTGCATCCTCCACAGGGAGCCCACAGGGAGCCCTCAGGGCTGGCACGAGGGACTCAGCAGAGCTCCAAGCTCAAGAGGGATGGACTGCTCTCCTGGGAACTCAGGGTACGGAGTGGGCTGTCCAGGCTGTGCCTGCTCCTCTTTAATCATCAGGGCCTCCTTGCTTCTGAAGCCATGAAAGGCCCCACCCTCAGGCCATCCCATCCCCCTAAGGATCAAGAACTGGGATGGGATGTGGGTGAAGGCTGTGACAGCCTTTTTCAGAGATAAATGCAAGCCTGCTGCTCGGGCATCTCGTTTGGGTAAGGGTCCTTCTGACCTGAAAATCCCTGTTCCCAGCGCTGTGACCTCTGAGGTCCCTGGGGAACCCAGAGGAGGCTGGGGTCACGGAGATACAGACTTCTTCTCCATATTGTAGTGATGCTGTGACATACTGCTTAGTGGGGTTACCAGAAATAAGTAGTTCTCTGAGGAAAAGAAAGCTACTCACAAACATTCTCTGTACCCCCAGAGCCTTCCCACCCATCCCCACTTATTCCTGTGATGCAGGGCAAGCAGAAGCAAGCAGGAGGTAGGGGCATTGCCTACTGAATGCCAGGCTGGGCTGCCACAATCCATTTGCCTGGCAGGAACACAGCCCATTCATCTGAAGATTACAGAACTCTACATACAGAAGGGGCTGGCTTCCCTCCAGAAGGGCTTAAGATGGGTGAGATACACTGTTGGTGATGGAAAGATTGCAGACTAATTCTGACACAACCACAATAAAAAGAAAGATACTTATTAAAGCTGTTTTCAGACTGGGTATGGTGGCACATATCTGCAATCCCAGCACCTGGGAGGCTGAGGCAGGCAGATCATTGAGTTTGAGGCTGGCCTAGGACACACAGAATTTGAGGCCAGGGTGAACTACTTGTGAGACCCTGTTTCAAAAACACAAAAAACTGTCTTCAGTAAATACATATGTGACAAGGTACCTCCCGCCCATCCACTCTTCTATCTGGCTCATAAATATGTGCAGACTGTGTGATAGGTCCTGGATACCCAAGCCAGAAAGGAGATTGCCCAACTGGAGGTTGAGGAGAACATGCATTCTACATTCCAATAAGATGACCCTCAATAAGCAAATAAAGATAATTACAGTTGGCACTATGAAGGGCATCCGCAGGCTCATGTGGTAGAGATTAATTGAAATAACTCCAGGGAGCACAGACCTGCTGTTAACTCTGGTCTTACTGCTGTGGCTTTTAGTGAGATGGGCTTTTTGGGGGGTAGGTATTTGTTTGTTTTTTGCAACTTGTTTTGAAGACTTAGCCTTGCTATATATTCCAGGCTGGCCTTGAACTCACAGCAATCCTCCTGCCTCAGCTTCCCAAAGGCTGATCACCTGTGTGCACCACCGCCCTTGGGATGCCATATACTTTAAATCACCTTTGGATGACTTGCGATACCCAACACAATGGAAATGGTAAACAAATAGTTGTTATACTGTATTGCCTAGGAATAATGATAAGAAAATAAAAGTCAGTATATGTGTTTAGTACAAAGGGAGGCAGTGCACCCTCCCCCCGGCCGTACTGGGGACTGAACTCAGGTCTTCACACTGAGCTACGTCCCCAGCCCTTTTTATGTTTTCATTTTAAGGCAGGCTCTTGGGGCTGGGGATTTAGCTCAGTGGCATAAGCACCTGCCTTGAAAGCAGGCAGTGGTGAGTTCGGTCCCTGGTACCGATAAAAACGAAAAAAAAGCCAAAAACAAAAAAAGACAGGGTCTCTCTAAGTTGTCTCATTGTCCGGGCTGGTCTGATGTTCAGTTTATGGTTTTGTATTTTCTTGTAGCAAATTTCCTCTGACTGGGTGATTTGTAAAGCCAGAAAATGCCTTTCTTCAGTGCATGCCAGCTTTTGGACTTAGGCTCACGCTAATCGTGCTGAAATTTCATCAATCATGCGTGCAAAGTCCTTCCTTCCTGTTCACTCCCAGGAGGAGGAAGTGTGTAGCTCTGTCATGCTAGGCTGCCTTCTCCCAGGAGCAACACAAGAGCAGAGAAAGGCATTGATACCACATCTGCTGAGATTGGATTCTGGTTCCATTTTGGTGCAAACCAGCTGCATATCTTAGACAGCTCCCTTCCCTACTCTGGGCCTCAGTTTCCCACTCTGTAAAATGGGAGGGGCAGGGAAGAGAAAAGTGCCAGAGCTCTGCAAGCTTCCCTCCAGCTCTGACAAATTGCCCTTACCACCGATTGCACCACATGTGGTCATGTGGCTTCTGATTTGTGTTTCCTGCACTGGTGGACTCCACATGATGCACACACAGCCTGTGGGAGCCCTGGAGGATTTCCCATGAGCCTCTACCACTGATCTGCATCCCAGCTCCTCCAGTTAGAGGTTACACTCTTGTTTCTTTGCTGGTTTGAGACAGGTCTGGCCAGATAGTCCAGGTGTTTTCAAACTCTCAGTGATCTACCTGCCTCAGCCTCCCAAGGGCTGAGGTTACAGATGTGTCCACTACACCCCACAAATGCTACACTCTGAAGTGCCTCAATTCCCAAAGCGACCTCAATAAACACTAGCAAAACGATCATACCCGCTCTTTCAGTGCCCACTTTCCCTCTGCTCCCCTCTCATGATGCGTTCCCCATCATCGATCTACCTCATTATATCTTCCGGGGCTGTTACAACACCCCTCTAATCTCGTTGGCCCATCTCTGGGCTTTTCTCATCAATACCCAGCTGAAAAGCTTCCGATGGTGGGGCCTGATGGCACACACCTATGATGCCAACATTTGAGAGGCTGAGGTGGGAGGATTGCTGAAAGATCCCGTGCCCTCGCCCCCCCCCCAAAAAAAAACTAGACCAAACCAAAAGCGCCTTCTGGCTCCTTAATTCCCCACCAAGTAAAACTCGTGATCTGGCCTCAGCCTACCGCTGGAGTATGGTTGCACAAGTGAACTCACAAATTCTCAGCACACTCTGAGCCCCCTCACCTTCAAGACTTACCCCCCCCCCAAGTCAAGTCCTTGCTTTTGTAAAACTCTCCTTAGTCCATTAGGAGCGCGGCCCAGGCTTCCTTGAGATTTGCCCGCTTGGAACTCCAGAGGGCGCTGCAGAGACTCTCGCGACGGACAGGAGGCGGCTCAGGAGTCAAGCAAACTGGAGGTTGGCCCGCCCCTTTTTCCTTCCGAGCCAATCGTTGGTCTGAGGGGCGGAGCCGCGCCGCTCTTGCGCATTGAGAGGTGGCGGGGTGGGTGCGGAAGTAGTGATGCGCGAGCGGGTGAGGCGGTCGCGGCCGGTGGGCTGGTTGCTGCTCGCCCTCCTAGGAGCGGCGCTGTTGGGGTCGCGGGCTTCGCGCCTGTACACCCCGGATTGGGAGAGCCTGGACTCCCGGCCGCTACCAGCCTGGTTCGACGAGGCCAAATTCGGCGTGTTCGTGCACTGGGGCGTGTACTCGGTGCCGGCCTGGGGCAGCGAGTGGTTTTGGTGGCACTGGCAGGGCGAGGGACGGCTCAGATACCAGCTCTTCATGCGCGACAACTATCCGCCCGGCTTTACCTACGCTGACTTCGGGCCGAAATTCACAGCGCACTTCTTCCACCCAGACGAGTGGGCCCAGCTCTTCCTGGCCGCGGGGGCCAAGTGAGTGTGGTCCGGGCCGGGATCCGGGGCCTAGGAGGTGGGGGCGACGCCGCCTGGGCCCCGAGGACATCCTGAGTGGCGCACCTGATCGAGAGTAAGATGCATTTTATCTGGTTGGAGATTCGTAAATCAAGTTTCAGGCTGGAGACTTAGCTCAGTGCAAAGACCTTGTATTCAAATCCCCAGGACAAAGAAGAAAAAAAAAAAAACCGCAGGTTTCAGGGAGAAAACCAAACACCCCTCCCCCCACGCCCTGCTGTCCATACCGGGTCCAGGCAGCATCTGCTGTCCCTTCCAGTCTAAACCAAGAGCCTGGAGTCTGGACCTCATTTAGTTGTACCACACAAAGGAAAAACAGATGTGGAAACACAAAACTGTAAGAAGGCTGAGGCAGGAGGATCGCTGTGAGTTTGAGGCCATCCTGAACTACACGGTGAGACATTATCTCAAGAAAAAAGCAAGATAGGGGCTGGGGATTTAGCTCAGCGGCATAAGCACTTGCCTTGCAAGCAGGTGGTCGTGAGTTTGATCCCTGGTACTGATTAAAAAAGGAAAAAGAAAAAAGCAAGATTATAATCTGGCAAATAGCATTTTCCCAAGACCCCTTATTTTATAGATGAGATCACCGGTCCAGAAAGCAGAAGGAACCTATTAACCTGGACTGCAGATCTTAGGACTCCAGCATGAGAGCTCTGTCTGGTGAGCTTGAGGTCTCCAAACTGGCCACAGGAATTTGTTCTGTGTCAGTTTTTGTAAAGCCTGTGAAGTGAGAATGGATTTTAGATTTCTAAAGTATTGAAAGAAAAGAAGGAGAGAAGAACATGCTACCTCTACCGAAAAAGATTGTGGCTTCTAAAGGACTCTGGGTTCCCAAAGGTTCAGGAGTCCCCCACGCTAGACATGTCTAGGCGTTACCTACTTTTCTGCCATAAAAGTCAATGGAATACCAAGTGACTAGGTTATTTCAGCACCTGCCTTTCTCCCAGCCCTTTAGGTCTTCTGTCACGTCTTTTTTGTTTTTTGAGACAGGGTTTATAATTCATGGTGGTCTTGGACTCACTGTGTATCCCACACTGGGCTGGAACTCATGGTGATCCTCCTGCCTCGGCCTCCCAAATGCTAGGGTCACAGGTATACTTGCATCACCATACTTGGCTTGTCATTGCTGTAAGTGAGAGGGGATTGTGTTAGATTTGGTAAACCAGTTTGCTCTGCTACATTTCTGTTGCCAGTCCACATCCTTCTCCTTCAGGGCAAAGGGTAATAAAAGTTAATTATTTATGCCCAGAAAGCATGAAGAATCAGGGCCACAAAAACAGAATCAGAGAGCTAATTTTCTGTCGCCTACCCCTTCCTCTTTCCCTCTGGGCTCCTTGGCTCAGGCATTGTGTCTGCAGTGAGCAGCTGGAGACATTAATACAGTGACTCATCAAAGCATATCTCCTGTTGTTACGTTCACCCCATCAGTTTCAGTGATGGTATAGCAGTTAGGGATTGAACAAACCCAGGGCTTTTGCACTGAACTACATCCCCAGCCCATGTTTACTTTTTAATTTTGAGATGGGGCTTGTGAAGTTGCCCGGGCTGGACTGCACATTAACAGTCCTCCGACCTCAGCCTCCCAGCATACTTGGATTATAGTACCTACGTTTTATAATTGAAGGAAGACAGGCTGAGCAAGCTCATGTTTGCAGCCTGCTGCCCATTTCCTTCGTTCATTTGTTTTTGGCGTCCACAGGTATGTGGTCTTCACCGCAAAACATCATGAAGGCTTCACAAACTGGCCCAGTCCGGTGTCTTGGAACTGGAACTCAAAGGACATGGGCCCGCATCGAGACCTGGTGGGCGAGCTGGGAGAGGCTCTCCGGAAGAGGTGTGTGTCTGCAGACAGCCGCTTGTCCTGTCTTCTGTTCCATCCTCCTGGGTTCTCACCTTCCTGCTTTTATGTGTTGCGTTTCCTAAGTTTGCACTTAGTAAATAGTTTCAAAGGCTGTGGTCTTTCAGTTTCCAGTATTGGAGACTTAGCAGTTCTCATGTGACCAAAAATGACACTGTTAGCAGGTGGTCTCCTGAGACCCACTCACGCCCAGTGCTAGGCTTTGCAAATGTTGGTTAGATCTGGGTTAGAAGCTGACCATCTTTTGTGTATCTGTTTAGTCACATGATGAAATGCCCACCTTCAGTTCCCTCTTATTCTGTGCATCGCAGCCTTGTCCCTAACTTCTTACTTGCATTATAATATTTTGATAACACCATTCTTTTTTAAATTTCCCACAATAATTGTACATATTTATTAGGTCCAGTGTGATAATTCACTACATGTATGCAACATGTAATGCCCAAATCAGGGTAATTAGCTTTTCCATCTCCTTAAGCATTTATCATTTCTTTGTGTTGGGAGCCTTCACCCCACCACCTCCCCTTTGTGGTACTGTCGATTGAGCCCATGGCCTGGTGCATGCTGGGTAAGTACTACTCTACCACTGAGCCACATCCTCAACCCAACTCTTTTCTTCTTGTTCTTTGAAAAAGTATCACAGCCAAGCACAGTGGCACATAGCTATAATCCCAGCACTCGAGAGGCTGAGGCAGGAGGCTTGCTGTGAGTTCAAGGCCAGCCTGGGCTACATACGCGTTCAAGGCCAGTCTGGATTATACAGTGAGATCTTGTTTCGAAAAGACAAAAATGGAGAGAGAGAACCAAGGATATAGCTCAGTGGCATAGCACCTGCCCAACAAGCGTGAGATTGTAAGTTTGATTCCAAGTACAAAAAAAAAAAAAAATCCTAGGACTTACCCCCAGCAGTGCAAAAATAGAAAATATATTAGTTGTCATAGTCATCTATGATGATTTGTAGCTGTAATCCTAGCTCTTTAGGAGTCTGAGGAAAGAGAATCACGAGTTCAAGGCCAGCCTGGGCAAATTAATGAGAGTCTGTCTCAAAATAAAGGTTTTAGCCAGGCATGGTGGTGCACGCCTATAATCCTAGCACTTGACATGCTGAGGCAGGAGGGTCACCATGAGTTCCAGGCCAGCCTGGAATACATAGACCCTGTGTCAAAAAAAACCCAAATTTTAGAGTGGTGAAGCTCAGCGTTTGACAGTTTGCCTTAACACACAGGCCCTGCATTCAGTCCCTGGTACCATGCAATAAAAAAGTAGTTGCATATATATAAACCACTATGCCAAATCTTCTTGCTTAAGTGAATGATAAGTAACTTATAAAAATGGTTTTGGGTCCCACCCTTCTGCATTCCCTAAGGGTGAATTTCACTAATCTGTAAAAAATGCTGTAACTGATTTTACTTAAACTGTTCTTTGTTTAATGAGAGTCGCTGCCCTGTCTTTCTCTTTAAGGAACATACGCTATGGTCTCTACCACTCACTCTTAGAGTGGTTCCATCCTCTGTACCTGTTAGATAAGAAAAATGGCTTCAGAACTCAGCATTTTGTCAGTTCCAAAACAATGCCAGAACTGCTTGATCTTGTTAACAGGTAAGAAACAAATATGTTTGACCTCATGTTTTGTCAATGAAATAAGAGCTTCCTGTTAGGCGCTTTTAAGGAGGGAAGGGGGTGAGCTAGGCAAGGTGGTGCACTCTTATAATCCCAGCGCTTGGGAGGCCGGAGCAGGAGGCTTGCTGTGAGTTTGAGGCCAGCCTGGAATACATAGTGAGACCCTGTCTCAAAACACAAAGGAGTGGGGAGGGAGGACAGGTACATGTGACAGTAATCTAGAAGACACCAAAATAGTAAAATTGGTAATTGTATTAAGGCAAAATTCATTGTTTTCTCCTACTTTACAAATTTTCAGCAAGTAGTTTTATTGTCTTTATAAGTGAAACGGTCACACAAAATCCAGGACGACAGTGAAGTCAGCTTCAGGTCCCTGTTTGCCTGCAGTTTTCCCCTCCGTGAGGACCTCGGAGAGCGTGCAGTGCCCCCTGTAGGCTTGGATGACCTGTGAGCCCCAGAAGCCCACTCTGTAAAGAGCCTGACTGTCACAGTGTAGCGGTGTTGACGCCGTTAGTACTAACATTATCTTAGAATGAGCACTGTCACCTTGGGCTTTGTCACTACTGCAGTCCACCGTGGTTTGCCCTTGACTTGCCTTTCATACCAGAGGATCTCTCTTACAGGCATGCAGACCCTCAAGAGTTCCAGTCAAACCTGGGCAACTTAGGAAGACCCTGTGTCAAAACAAAACTTTTTTTAAAAAAGAAGTTTGCATGCAGAGCAGTGGTAGGCACTTATCTAGCATGCGCGAGGCTCTCATGTGCCCATGTCCCCCACCCCACCGCACCCGCACCCCCAAGAAAGAAAAGAGGAAAAGAGAAAGAATAAGTGGTTTGTTCAAGGTAAGGAAGATAACTCAGTTCTGGTCTATAAATAGCTGTATCTGTCCGAGCCTCTGCAGGTCTCTTACAACTCTAGATCTTCCTTAGAGAAGTCATCTTAGGGTGGAGTCCCCCCTCCAAAAAAAAAAAAAGATATATAGACACAGAAGGCTGCCTCTTACCAGGCTTGGTGGTGCACACCTGTAACCGCAGCACTTAGGAGACTGAGACAGGAGGATTGGCACAAGTTCCAAGCCAGCCTGTTCTACATAATGAGCTCAAGGCTTAGCCTGGACTACACAGTGAGAAAACAGACACATGGGGCTGGGGATTTAGCTCTACGGTATAAGCACCTGCCTTGCAAGCAGGCAGTCGTGAGTTCGATCCCCGGTACCGATAAAAATGAAAAAGACAAAAAAAAAAAAAGATGAGGTTATGTACCAAAGAGCTACATTTGTTTTAAACACTTTTTATTGTTGTTGCTATCATCTCTAGTTTTCCGTATCCTCGGCACTGTAGTAATTTTATGGTACTTTCAGAAGGGGAGCATACTGGACATGGTGGCATATGCATATAATCCCAGCACTCAGGAGGCAGAGGCTGAGGCAGGAGGATCTTTGCAAGTTCAAGACTGCCCGAGCTACAAAGTGAGCTCAAGGCACCCTGTCTCAGGAAGACAAAAAAATGTTTTTTGTTTGTTTTTCAATACAGGGATTATACCCAGGGCCTCAATCATGTGAGGCAAATGTTCTGCCCCTGAGCCATACCCACAGCGCTAATATTTGTTGTAAAAATGAGTTTACATAACTGTCCTGAGAACACATTCAGATAGCAAACCGTTCTTCTCATGTGCCTTCCAGCTACCAGCCTGACCTCATCTGGTCTGATGGCGAGTGGGAATGTCCTGACACTTACTGGAATTCTACCTATTTTCTTTCTTGGCTATACAATGATAGCCCCGTCAAGGTAAGTACTTACCTGATTTATTTCTTATTTGTTATGCTAAAAGGAAGTACAAGGAACCAAGATGTGGAAAACAAAGACAGAATCAGCAAAAGATACCACTGGGTGGCCATGGGGACTAGAGCAGATGTTAAAGGTTTCTCCCTTAATTATACCCCTTGAGATTGTTGTACCCTAAAAACGAGACCCCAAAATGTTGTCCAAACAACGGGCAAGACGTCTTTAAAGAAAAAGGAGTGCTTTTATTTAGGCTGGCACCAGCAACACAGTGCAGTTGGAGTTTGCAAAACTGTGCAACTGGCTTAAAATTTTGACAGACTTTTATAGAAAGAACAATCACAAAGTACATGTTGGGTGGGGGAAGAGTGAAGAAGACCTTTGTTTCCCTTTGCTTGAGGACAGAGAAGTTTCACAGTTGGTGGTCAGCCATTTTCTTCTTTACAAGGATGTACTAATTTGTATACTAATTTCAAGATCAACTGTCTTTTACAAAAGGGGAACAAAGGGCAAGAGGAATCAAGGTCGACTGATTCCAGGAACAGTTGTTCTTCACAAAGGGAACAAAGGTTAACAGAGCAAACATATTACCAGGGTGACAGCACGTACAGAACAGTATGGCGGAGCTACAGTATAACAGAAGTGTAGGCCTTCTTTTTCTTTTTTAGTTCTTGGTTTTGGCAACATAGGTCTAAGCACTGTTAAGTTCACATGACAGAGGAGAAACAGGATATTGAATTCTTAGACCATGGCAGAGGAGATAAACTCCACTATGCAAACAGATATTATGAGAAAACATAATATTATGAGAAAACAAATTATGTGCAAAATATAAAATTAAGTGACAGGAGTAAAATGGGACATCTATTATAGCAGTTATTAAGCTTAACTGTAAAGAAACCAGCCCATTTCCCTTATATCCAAATTCTTGTGGAAGAACCTTACCAGCCCAAACCGCTCCCCTAATCAGCATTGTTAGCCAGTGTGTACTGGCTCCACATTTATGCTTTTTATTGGAGTAATTTTACAAAGCGGCAGAGGTAATGTTTACTGTAGAAAATGTGAAAATTATTTCCATATATTTATTTATTTATTTATTGTTTAGTTCTGTTTTTTTGAGACAGAGTCTTGCTCTATAGTCCAGGCTGTCTTTGAACTCACTATGTAGCTCAGGCTGGCCTCAAACTCATGGCAATCCTCCTGCCTCAGCCTCCTGAATGCTGGGATTACAGGCATATGACACCACGCCCAGCTCTACATATTTTAAATATATTGTAAGTTGTTTTTTTTGGATTTTTTTTTTTTTTTTTTTTTGTCTTTTTGAGACAGGGTCTGTCTATGCAGTTCAGGCTGGTCTTGAGCTCACTTTGTAGCCTAGGCTGGTCTTAGAACTTGAAATGATCCTCCTTCCTCAGCCTCCCAAGTGCTGGGATTATACACATGAGCCACCACACCTGGCTATTTGTTGTAAATTTTAAAGAAAAGTCTAAACAAAACCACTTCGGAGGTTAGGGGTTTTAGCTCAGAGGTGGAGTACAGGTTTAGCACCAAAAACCAAAAAAAAAAACCAATTTGAATTGAGGCACCTTGATAGTTTCACAAACCTCCAAAGATTTTCCTGGGTAGCTGTTACTAAGCTTGGAAAGTGGAAAGAAATTTAAAATAGAAAGACACTCTATGTAATAAACTGAGACGGATTAAAAGTAGTTCTCAGAAACTTGCTAAGCGTGTAGGAGCTCTCAGATGTGCAGCTGGCCCCTAGGTCATCACGTCTGGTATAAGGTCATCATCATCCATGTATTTGTCTGCTTAGCAGTCTCTGCTGGATCTTTAAGGGTGGATTTATTTACCTTGGCACCAGGACCTGCCATCACATGGGCCTCATGGTCTTTACTGAGTAAACAGTCATTGAATTGAATGGGTGCCTGATGCCCAGAGACAGGATGATTAAAACCCATTTTTCTCTGAAGTGGCCTTCATATACCTGTTCAGTGTGTAAACGCATGGAACTAGGGGTAGAGGGCTGGGTGGGTCACAGTACAAAGTGAAGGAACATCACAAAAAAGAAAAAATGGCAAAAATGCATGATTGAAAAAGAAAAGAATCGGGGGGCTGAGGCAGGAGGAGCATTGTGAGTTTTAAACCAACCTGGGCTACAAAGTGAGCTCAAGGCCAGCCTGAACTACATAGTGAGACTATGTCTCAAAAAGAACAAAAAGAAAAAAAATAAAGAAAATATTGGGCTGGTGTATTTAGCTCAGCAGCTCAAGCACTTGCCTGCTAAGCAGGAGGTGGTGAGTTTGATCCTCAGTATGAAAAAAGTAAAAATTTAAAAAAAGAAAAGAAAATATCAATCCCAGTGCCATTTATAAAGCACAGCTAATGGGGAATGGTGGTATCCCCTGCTGCTTAAGAGACTGAGCCAGAAAAATCACATATTCAAGGCCAGCCCAGGCAATTTAGTGAGACCCTGTCCCAAACTAAGAATTTTAGGAAGAGTTTGACTATAACTCAATGGTAGCAATCTCCTGTACTGCCTAGATAAATAAAACATAATACTATGCTCAAAGATTTTCAGTGCCTAATGTGGTGGTACACAAGGCTGAGGCAGGAAAATCTCTGCAAATTCAGGGACAGGCTGGGCTACAGAGCGAGACCCTTTGGTGTGGCCCTGTCTCTTGCTGTTTACACACTGGTTTTGCAGACACAGGATTGTAGAAAACAAGGATTTACAGCAAGCCAGCTCTGTGACATGGTGTATGCCAAACCCTGAAGCTACAGAATTGGTTTTAGCCCTGAAGGAACCATGTCTGCAGAGAAAGAGGCAGACCACACTGTGGAATGATTAGTAGGAAAACAGAACTAGGTCTCGAGGTCTTGTCAGCCTGCCAAAAGCATAAGGTACTAGGTTAGAGACTGGCCATCCTGAAAGGGCTGCATGCACAGGGCAGGGTACTGAGATCCTCCTAGAGTGCTCAGAGAACCAGAGGGAGATGAAGGAGACAGGGGAGGTGTTAACTGATCTCCCGTGCCACAGTCAGGGCACTGTCGCTTCAGTCCGCAAAACTCCAGAGAGCTCAGTGATCTTTTTCTTTTGGTTTGCTTGGTTGCTGGAGTTTTGTTTTGATTTGGGTTTGGTCCTTTTCCAGATCCCTAGATTTAAAAGGTAGTCACCTCCCTGAGACCCCCTACCCTGACTAGTCGGTGGCTCTGAAAGCCCCGGCTGATCTTGGGCTGAACTTGAGATGTCCCTTTCTGTTCTGAGACCTCATGAGCTGGGTCACTGATAACGGAGGCCAGAAGACTAGGTCAGACCAGCTGGAAATGGTGAATTCTGTGGTGGTTCGCTTTGGCACTCAACTAGCTGCCACAGGAAGAGCTTACATGGTGATGGGTGACCCTAAAACGAGCCAGAAGGGAAGTTTGAAGTGTTTATTGTGCCTCCGCTCACAGGGCTTTCAGTGACTGCCCTGTGCTGACCACCTGCTGCACTTCCATATTTACGTTAAGATAGTCCACATGGTGGTTTCCTATAGTTCAGCTAAGACGGGAAGGACGAAACTGAAGACCTGGTGACTTTCCTTTCCACCTGGCGGAGGGAGTCAGGATTCTGGGAAGAAAGTGTCCGGGCTGGGCTGGAGGCCTGGGAATTGCCCAGGCCTGGGCCCAAGGCACCTGCTCTGCCTCTGCCCTAGTGGGGTTTTCTAGGTATTCCCAGCTGTGGTGCTGGGGATCTCTTCTGTGGGTCCTCGGCCTTAGCACACGTGATATATGGAGCCAAATACTTGGTTATCGGGGTGCCCGCGCACTGCAGGGTGTTTGGGAACAGTTCCACTGGCTCTTCCCCGAGATGTCAGTAGCTCCACCCCAGTTGTAACAACCCGAAATGTCTCTAGACTGCTGACTGTGTGTCCCCTTCAAGGCAAAACTGCCCCTGCCCTGGTCAAGAACCACCATGTCACACTAACTGCGCCTTCCAAATAACGCGGTGGCTCCAGAGTACTGTGCCAGGGAAGAGCCGGGTGGTGTTACCCTGTCACCAGGCCTCCTCTCAATTTAGGATGAAGTGGTCGTAAATGACCGCTGGGGGAGGAACTGTTCCTGTCACCATGGAGGGTACTACAACTGCCAAGATAAGTTCGTGCCCGAGAGCTTGCCCGACCACAAGTGGGAGATGTGCACCAGCCTGGACAAGTGGTCCTGGGGCTACCGGCGGGACCTGAAGGTGACTGACGTCTTGGGCGAGTCTGAAATCATTTCGGTAAGCATGCCTGGGAGCCTGGCTCCCTAACTGCTTCCCGCCACAGACCCCTAACGCAGACCGGCGAAAGTGTGGGTCGCAGAGCCCTGAAGGCTGCTGGCTGCAGCAGACCCTGCCTCGGACAACTCTGCCCCGTGTGCGGGCTCTCGGTTCCGTCCTCAGCACTGATTGGACTTCCTTTTTCCTTCTTTTCTTGTTTTTTAAACATTTTTCCCTGTTTTCCTTTCCCCCCATCCCTCCCCCCATTTGAACTTTTTCTTCCTGTTTCACGTTATCTGTCACACATTTTGGTCCTTTTGGTTTCTCACACCAGACAGACAATGCAGTGTTTACACATGTGTGTCCCATTTATTTCCCTTGAGAGTGTGGTCTCAAGGTGCATCTGTTTGCCCAGAAATGTCTCGAGGGTGTCCCTGTTTGTGGCAGAGTAGTCCTGCATTGATAAAGAAGCCACGTCACCCGGGATGAGTATTCGGGCTGTCGCACACTGTGCAGCTATAAACGTGGGAGCACATACGTCACTGTGGTCCGCTGCTTTTAATTCTTGGGAAGATAGGATGGGAATGGCTGGGTCAAGTGGAACCTCTCATCTAGTTTTCAGAGGAATCTCCACACCGATTTCCACAGCGGTTGTACTAGGCTGCACTCCCACCAAAAGCAGAGAAGGGTTCCTTTTCCTCCCACAGCCCTGCCAGCCTTGTTATTGGTTGACTTTTTTTTTTTTTTGTCTTTTTCCTTTTTATCGGTACTCACGACTGCCTGCTTGCAAGGCAGGCGCTTATGCCGCTGAGCTAAATCCCCAGCCCCCATTGGTTGATTTCTTAATAATAGCCTTTCTTTCTGGGGTAAGATGGAATCTCAGTGTTGGTGTAATTTCCAGCACTGATTTTATTTACTTATTTATTTATTTTTGGACCTGGGAATCGAACTCAGGACCTCGCACTTGCCAGGCAAGCACCCTGCTGCTGAGCTACACCTGCAGCCCAGCACTGATTTTAAAAAGAAGCTGATAATATAATATAGGTGAATGGTTAATTCTTTGAGTGAAAAAATGTGACACATTATTACATCTAAGATCAACTGCATAGGAACAAGATTGAACACAGACACCAAAAGTTAATGGTGTGGTGTCTATTGGTGTAATGGAGTCTCCTTTTTAAAATTTTCTGTATGTCATCTTAGTCTTTCTGAGTTGCCCTTGCCCTGCAGTCACTTGTTTTTATGATCTCAATGTCCCTCTCTCTGTCTCCCCTCCCCCGTAAGTCTCCTAGCTTCCCAAGGTCTCCACAGCAACAACTCAAACTGCTGTCCCAGATCCCTGTGTTCCCTGCCAACCAATCCAGCGTCATTCTGTGGCTCTAAGCCACCCCTAGTGGCCCAGGCCTTTTCTTCCAGCCTCCCTGTCCACACCCCGTGCTTCTGACCCAACCCTTCACAGGCATGCAATGCCTCCAGGCTGACAGCCACACAGGAAGTGCCATGTGCACTCCCCGACGTCCAGATGAATACCCATCTCAGATGAGCCTGACCTGCTTTTATAATGACAGACAAATACAGTTTTTAAATGGCAAAGAATATTCACAGATGAGGAAGAGCGTGCCTAGGCGGTTCTGCTCCTCTCATTCACAGCTGCCTTTTGTCAGTCATCGTCTCTGCTCTCTCTAGGAACTGGTTCAGACTGTAAGTCTGGGAGGCAACTATCTTCTCAACGTGGGTCCTACTAAAGATGGACTGATCGTGCCCATCTTCCAAGAGAGGCTCCTTGCTGTTGGCAGGTGGCTGCAGGTCAGCGGGGAGGCTATCTATGCCAGCAAGCCCTGGAGGGTGCAAATAGAAAAGAACGAGACCTCTGTGTGGTGAGTCTCTTCCGGGGCCAGCAGCCCCGTCCAAGGCCCCTGCACACCGGGTGTGATACGGCGGCTGCAGGTTGTCCTGAGGGAACCCAAAAGCTATTCTTCTGCTATAAAATGTGTGGCTCCACTGGGCTATAGTCTGGGCCACCAGAGTGTCTTAGACTACAGAGGTCAGCAGTAGGTTTGGAGAAAAGGGAAGACGCAGAAAAGCGTGGTTTAATTTGGTTGTGACTGTTACCCTGCTTCCCCCAAATGATGGTAGTTTCGCTTTTGTAGCACCCACAATGCACAGGGTCCCTATTCTGTTCTTTCCGTTTATTCTTGGACTTCTGGATCTGGTTGTTGGATCTTGGGCCTCAATTTTTTCAACTGCAAAATGGGCTGATGATACATAACTTCAGAGTTGTTCTGAAGACTAAATGAGGTAATATATGTGAAGCACCCAGCAAGGTCAGGCATAAACTTGTGATAGAAAAGTTAAAAGTCAACAACCTGGTGCTTTGTTAAGACAGGGTGTCCTCACCCAGGCCACCACAGAGTTAGACCATTAGACTCTGTTAGCCTTGACTGACCATGTCTGCTACAACTTAGAGATAATCCGGCCTGACTCAGTCTGACCACATGCATCTGGACTGCCCATACTGTCTGACATATAAACATATTCTATTTTCAAGGACCATCCAACTGAGATAAAGTAATCAAGCACATGCTTAGTTCAACCACCCCCTCCACCCTCCTTCCCTCCCTATTTTCTCCCACATTGTGGTAAACAACCCCCTCACTAACCTGCTTGGAGCAAACCTGCCTGACAACATGCAACTGGATTCTTGTAACCAGTTATACAATAACCTGTTATCAGCTTTGTATTTCCTGCTTGCAAATCTCACATAAAGCAAAGCTGACTTGGGGCTAGCGATGTGGAACAGATTCCCACCAGCTGACTAGTGTAATAAATTGTTACCTTCCAAACACCCTGGTGCAAAAGGTGTTCCATTTGGTTTGATACCAGATTTCCATAACAAATCAAGTGTCCAGTAAAAGGTACTGCTGGTATTGTACTGAAGAGCTTCAGTCTTGGGATGAAGCCAAACACACTAATCCTTCTGTTTGAATGAGTATCTAGTGATTTTGGTTGTTTGTTTTTTTGGTACCAGGGATCAAACTCATGACTTCACACTTGCCAGCAGGTGCTTGTGTCACTGAGCTAAATCCCCCACCCCAGTATCTAGTGATTTTCATCATCTTCCCTAAGAAGATGGTGAAATATGAAATCTCAAGGCATCAAACTTGTCTTCATTGTATTTGACCCTTGCTTTATCCTCTCTTTTCTCATGAATTTGAAGTTGGAAAGATTTACATACAGAGTGACTTTGGTGGGAAGTAGCTAATGTAAGAGTGAACTAGACAGAAGCAGTGTGACAGCCGGAGAGAGGGACACAGAAGAGGGAAAGGGCTCTGTGGGCCGCTTCCTCCCGCCACACTGCACGAGGGGTGACCCGCGCCTCGCGGTCCCAGTGACAGGCACAAGGGCTGGGGCTGGGAGTCAGGGGAAAAGGAGTGGACAAGATGAGCAGGGTGCCCGTGTGCTTAACAGTGACATTTCCTTTCTCCCAGGTACACTTCGAAAGGCTCAGTTGTTTATGCCATTTTTCTGCAGTGGCCAGAAAATGATAGTTTATATCTTAAGTCCCCCATAACTACCTCCACTACAAAGGTAAGGAGTCCCATCAGTTCCAAGATGTACTTACTCCTGTCATTTTGCTTTTTGGGTTTTGTTTTGTTTTGTTTTGTTTTTTTGCTGTGTGTGTGGCACTGAACCTTTATACTGAACTCTATTTCTAGCTCCCCCCTTTTTTTGAGATGGGGTCTCACTATGCAGTTCAGGCTGGTCTTGAGCTCACTATGTAGCCCAGGCTAGCCTCAAACTCACAGGGATCCTCCTGCCTCAGCCTCTTGAGTGCAGGGATTATAGCAGTATACCACCACACCCAGCCATAGCCCTTTTTTTAATTTTTTTTTTTTTTTGAGACAGGTTTTTGCTAAGTTGCCCAGGCTGCTTCCAAACTTGTGACCCTTCTGCCTCGGCCTCCCACAGTGGTGGGATTACAGCCATGCACCCCCACCCCAGCCTAAATGTAGCTTGTTCTAAAGGAACCAGCAGGCCTTCTTTCCTCCTTTCCTTCTAATCGTGGGCATGCTCCCAGGAGGCTGTCTTTCCTGTCTGGGGCCAGCAGGGGTGTTCAGACCGCCATTTCTGTATACTAATCTGTGACTTGGGTTTCCTGTTCCTTTGGCCTGCTGCAGGTAACCATGCTGGGAATCAAGGGTTATCTGAAGTGGTCCAGAGATCTGGAAGAAGGCATGTACATCGCTCTGCCTCCGTTGCCTCTCTCTGAACTCCCAGTGGAGTTTGCATGGACTGTAAAGCTAACAGGAGTGAAGTGACCCCCGCGGGAGCTCAGGAGGAGAGGGTGCTGCCACAGAAGCAGCACCACAATAAAGCCTCTTCTGTTCCCCACCCAGAGATGGCCTCTCCTGCGCATTAATCAGCAAGCCAAGTGCGTCACAGTGAGGATTCATGGAGCCCTGCTAGTGTGTCTCCTTCCTCCGCTCAGCAAATAGGGCACAGTTAAATGCAGTTCACACTCCTGGCGGTGGGGGCGCTGTGCAGTAGCGATGCCTCTGTCCTCGGTTCTGTAACCTGCTTGCCTCCTCAGTGACTTCGGAGGAAGACTGAGTCAGGTCCCCCTTGCCTGGGGGCAGAAGGAGTCTGGAGAGCTCAACCCCAGGCTCTGTTTAATATCAGGGTCACCAGCTGCCCCCCGAAGGTAAAGGAAGCCTGAAAGGGAAGGAAAGGCCTTGCTGGGCACTAATGGTCAAGTCTTCAGAAGCTTCCAAAGCAGCTCAGAGCTGTGCAACTGACCATGTGTACAGGGGACCCAAGACTGCCATTCTACCCTGCCTTTTTAAATAGGACCAAATAGTCACTAGTCCTGGCCCTTGGGAGGCTGAGGCAGGAGGATCCTTGTGAGTTCAAGGACGAGCATGAGTGTAAGTCCAGCTTGGTCTACATAGCAAGACCCTGTCTCAAAAAAAAAAAGATCAAATCTGTAAGTCTAATCATTTGTAACAAAAAGCATGTTGTTGCTTACTGTTCTTTTTTTTCACAGATTTTTTTTTTTTTTTTTGTCTTTTTCCTTTTTATCGGTACCAGGGACCAAACTCACGACTGCCTGCTTATAAGGCAGGAGCTTATGCCGCTGAGCTAAATCCCCAGCCCCTTCACAGATGTTTTTAAAGATGACTAAAGGATGAAATTTTGGTGAAATGCTACTTTTTTAATGGTAGTAGAGATAGAACTCAGGGCCTTTGCACTGAGCTAAATCTGCAACCCTTTGTTTTTGTTTTTTTAAAAATTTTTTTGGTTTGGTGTACTGAGAATGATAGCAAGGTGAGGGAAGAGGAGCGCTACCCCTGACCTACACCTCTCCTTCTTATTTATTCATTTTGCAACAGGATCCAGCAGAACTGCCCTACTAGGGTCTTGACGCACAATTGTCTTCCCCTGCTTTCCGCTTTCTGGAGTGCTGGGTTGCAGGCACGTATCACCACACCCAGCCCTTTCCTCCCTTTTCTTTTGAGACAGGGTCTTGCTGAATCATTGCGTGTCCAAAGCTGGGCTTGAACTTTGAATCCTCCCCCCTGGCAGAGTGCTGGGATTACAGACATGGGCCAGCAGACCAAACTCAGTTTCTTGTTGTATCTGTGTCCTCTCTTCCTTGGCCTTTGGGTCAGATTTCTGCTCAGCTGTGCATGTAAATATGTTAGTCATTTAAGAACTATTTCTTCAGCACTAGTGTTACAAGACCAGTTTGCCCTACAGCTGACTAATCTGTTTTTCTTCAAGAATGAAGACACCACAATAAGTATAAATGAGATATTTTTGGGATTTACAGGGCACCCAGACCTTGTTGATTGCGTGTGTACAAGCCACTTGGTTTCACAATGTCACATCCCAGACCACCCAAGTGGTACCCAGAAGTCTCCAGTCATCCTTTCCCACCTAACACCCATCTTTCCTTTACCCAAGAGTAAAACATGCCTGAGACTGTCGAAGGGGGTCTTTGTGATGGTAGCCTGGGCATCTTGTTTCACTGACTTTCCAAGGCATCTTTTTTCCCTTGGTCCAAGAACTTGTCATGGAGTCGCTGGACTTGTTCAGGTGACAGATAAACAGACTTGGAATTGGTAATGGGGTGGTTTAAGGCTTGGGCCTGAGTGACTGGCAGTGAAGTGACCAGTGGTCTGTCTGCCCAGTCAAAACTCAGGCCGCTTCTGGGACACATGTTCAGAAAAGGGCAGTGTTAGCATGAGCTGAGGTGAAGTTTGGGGCTCCTGACAAAACATCGCCCACGGGACCCTTCAGCAGGTCTAAGTGACAGTCAGTGCCTTCAGCAAAAGCAGCCTTCAAGTCCCCGAAAAACAATCAGGGTCACAAGCATCATTGACAGGGGCACCCTCTACCGCAGAGCTAGTGGGAGGCCAATCATACGCTGCTCAGGGAATGACCCCAAAGTTAGCCTTGAAGTCAACTAAAAGCAAGTGAACCAGAGGGTTTATTTGGGCTTTCACTCAGTTTCATGAGCAGTCAGTTAAGATCTCTGGCCTTTCCTGAGGGACTCATGCAGGGCTGGGTGTGTATGTCACCCACTTTTGTAGAATTTACCAACAAATGAATGTAGGGAGCAGACAGGATGGGTGATAGGAATTGGCAAGTGGACAAGGGTATGCTTTGCCTGCATCATTTCTGTGTGTGTGTGTGTACGCATGCATACTTTTTTTAAATTGTAGAATACATATAAAATTCACCTTTTTAATCTCTTGTACAACTAGCATTACGTACACCCAGGTTGCTATGCAACCATCTCCACTATCTATCTTTGGAACTCATCATCCCAAACTAAAACACTAAACCCATTAATCAGTAGCTCCCCATTTCCCCTTCACAGCCCCCTGGATGCTACTATTTAACCCCACCCCCACCACACACACTGGGGATTAAACCCAGGGCTTTAAGCGAGCCAGGCAAGGGCTCTACCACAGAGCTACATTCCCAACCATTGTTATTTTGAGACAGGGTCTCTGTTGTTCAGGCTTGAATTTGTAATCCTCCCACCTCAGCCTCCTAGATAGGATTACAAGTGTGCGCCACCACACCCAGCTCTGTGAATTTGATTACTCTTGGTGCTTCCTTGTTTAGGATTCTCCAGAAAAACAGAACCAATAGGAGATCCACCAACAGAACTGGGCACCCATTTCTTGAAGAGTGAGAAATTCCAGGACTTGCTGTCAACAAGCTGGAGACTTAGGAAAGCCAGGGGTACACTTCCAGTCCAAGCTGGATGGCCTGGGCAGCCAGATAAAACAAACTAAGGGAATTCCATTCTTTTTATTTAAACCCATTTTCTTCAAAAAATAGAAAAAAGAAGAAAAATGTCACAGTATATCCATCGGGGTAACAATGGTTACACATTGCACATGGTCGTCCCCAAATCATTCACTCAGAGCATGAGATCTCTGCATTCAGTTGTCTGAACAATACCAGCACACACATCTTTCTCTTCAGCGACCTTAGAGAAATAAGTAGAATAACTCTGAACTTTTTATATACATACACATGTACATATGTTTTTTCTTTCAGTTTGTCACACTAATGAAACAATACACTGTTTACACATGTGTCTTATTTCTCTAATGAGTATATCCTCAAGGTGCATCTGTTTACCTTTGAAAGTGTCCAGTTTATCATTCTTCATGGCTGAATAGTACTCTAATGTATAAAACTACCACATTTTTTTAATCTGTCCTTCAGCTGATGGGCATTTAGGTTGTTCCCAAGAGCTGGCTGTTACAAACTGTGCTGCTATAAACATGGGTGCACACACACTACTGTGGTATGATGTCTTAATTTTTGGGAAAGATACCCAGAAGGGGAATAGCTGGGCAGAATGGGACCTGTAATCCTAGGTTTTTGAGGAATCTCCACACTGATTTCCACAGTGGTTGCACCAGTCTGTACTCCCACCCGGAGTGGAGAAAGGGTTCCTTTTTCTCCACAGCCCCTCCAGCATTTGTTATTGGTTGATTTCTTTAAAATAGCCATTCTTGGGGCTGAGGATTTAGCTCAGTGGCATAAGCACCTGCCTTACAAGCAGGCAGTCACGAGTTCAATCCCCAGTACCAGAAAAAAAAAAAAAAAAAAAAAGATGAGAATAAAAAAAATAGCCATTCTTTCAGGGTGAGGTGGAATCTCAGTGTTGTTTTAATTTGCATCTCTCAAGTGACCAGTAAGGTTGAATATTTTTTCACCGATTTGTTTGCTGTTTGTATTTTTTTTCTGAGAAGTGTGTATTCATCTCAGATGCCCATTTTTGGATTGGGCCTTTAAATCTGGGAATTTCTCAGGGGCTGGGGATTTAGCTCAGCGGCATAAGCACCTGCCTTGCAAGCAGGCAGTCGTGAGTTCGATCCCCGAAAACGAAAAAGACAAAAAAAAAAAAAATCTGGGGGTTTCCCTTTTCCCTACCTTTGTGATTTATTCAGAGCTCAAAGAATGGCATGATGCCCACCAACATTGAAAGGGGGGAAGTTACTTTACTCAGTCTGTTGACACAAGTGCTAGCATTGGCCAGAGACTTCCCACAGACACACTCAGAAGCAATGTTTGGCCAAATATTTGGGCCCCCTGTAATGTGGTTAACTTGACACAAAATTAACCATTGCGCCCATATAAGGTCAATCATGACATTTTGTCCTTTGGTGACTTGTGCTTTTGTGTTTGGCTTAGGATGACGTGTTTTTTTTTGTTTGTTTGTTTGTTTGTTTGTTTGTTTGTTTTGAGACAGGATCTCACTATGTAGTTTAGGCTAGCCTAGAACTCTCAATGATCCCACCTCAACCTCCCAAGTGCTAACATTACAGGTGTGTGCCACCATGCCCAGCTAGCATGATATTTTTAAGGCTTATCCGTGTTATAACATGGGTCAGAATTCTACTTTTTAATACTACATTTTATGTATATACCACATTTTGCTTATGTATATTCTATTTTATGTATATGCCCATTTATGTGACAGTGAACATGTGGGCTTTTGCCACCTTTTGGTTATCATGAATAACGTTGATATGAATGTTGATAATTCTTTGGGTGTATATACTTCAAATCCCTGAATTGTACAATAATTCTTGTTCAACTTTTTTTCAGTACTGAGACTTGAACCCAGGGCCTTTGCTCTTAGCTATATCCCCACACTATTCACTGAGTTGTCTTGGGTGGGCTCAAACATTTGATCCTCCTGCCTCAGCCTCCCAAGTGCTGGGGTTACGTCATGTGCCTGCCTGGCTTTAGTGTACAAGTATTGAAAGTCGACTTGTTTTAACTATCACCCTTGTAACTTTAGGCTAAAGTTAACTTGCTAGCTGCAGGTTTTCTGTGAGTAGCGCTCTCAGGGTTATGATGGAG